TGCAAGCGAATGGAGGAAGAGGGACACAACATGAGCTTGGCTTTAAGATACAAAAAACGAGAAACAAAGAGGGGCTTAGTGAATATGTCAGCCAGCTGATCAATGGTAGGAATGTACTGAAGAAGCAACTTTTTCGCCAGAACTTGATCACGCACGTAATGACAATCGACCTCAATGTGTTTAGAACGTGAATGAAAAACAGGATTGGAGGCTAAGGCAATTGCAGAAACATTATCACACCACAGGGTAGGAAGCACTGGCGAGACAATAGATAAATCGTGAAGAAGCATGCCAATCCAAGCTAACTCAGCAGCAGTATGAGCAAGAGACCGATACTCGGCCTCAGTCGAAGAGCGGGACACGGTTGGTTGCTTTTTAGCTGACCAAGAGACAAGATTACTACCCAGAAAAATGCAGTAGCCTGAAGTGGATTTACGGTCAAGGAGATCACCAGCCCAATTGGAATCAGAGAATGCATGAACATCAAAGGAACTAGGAGAAAAAGATAGACCATGAGTAAGAGTGCCTTTGACAAAACGAAGAAATCTCTTCACAGCAGCAAAATGTCCAACAGTGGGTGAATGCATATGTTGGCAAGACTGATTTACAGCTAAGGAAATGTCTGGGCGAGTAATGGTGAGATACTGAAGAGCCCCAACCAAACGACGATAAAGAGCAGGATCAGAAAATGACTGAGCAGCATCGGGAGGAAGAGTTGGCTTGACAGAGATGGGAGAGGAGTAAGGCTTACAGTCAGCGAGACCAGCTTTCTTGAGAATGTCTTGTGCATATTTGGTTTGAGATAAAACATAGCCGGCTGCAGTGGCGGTGATAGAAATACCAAGGAAGTAAGAGAGGTTCCCTAGTTCTTTCATGGAAAAAACTGTGTGCATATGAGAGATAAGGGACTGAATATGAGAAGGATTATTGCCGGTAAGCAATATGTCATCAACATAGACTAAAAGAATAGTAATATTGGAGCCCAATTTCTGAATAAACAAGGAAGAGTCACACTTGCTGTTGGAAAATCCTTGAGAGATCAGATAGGTGGAAAATGTGGAGTACCAGGCTCGGGGGGCCTGTTTGAGCCCATATAAAGCTTTTTGGAGATGACAGACATGGTGAGGATGAGCGGAGTCAACAAACCCAGGTGGTTGGAGCATAAACACCTCTTCTTCGAGGATACCATGCCAGAAAGCATTGGATATATCTAACTGTTTCAGGGGCCAACCATGATGAAGAACCAAGCAAATCACAATTCGGATAGTGGGAAGTTTGGCCACTGGGCTGAAAGTTTCTTGAAAATCAACCCCTGCTTGTTGAAGATATCCCTTGGCAACAAGGCGAGCCTTATGCCGAGCAATAGTACCATCGGAATTTCTTTTAACGCGAAAAACCCACTTGCAACCAATAGCATTTTTAGCAGGAGGCAAAGAAACCAAGGACCAAGTCTTTTGTTTGTGTAAGGCATCAATTTCATCTGTCATGGCTTTATGCCAAATAGGAGAATGAAGAGCTTCCTTATAGGAAGGAGGTTCACTATCAGAATAGAGAGGAGCAGAGATAGGAAAAGGCTGTGGAGAATGAGTATGAATCAAACAATGGGAAGAAACCTTGGATCGAGTAACCATGGGATGAACATTAGAAGGAGGAGGAAGAGGCAAATCAATGGAAATAGAGGAAATGGGAATAGGTACATGTAGAACAGATGGAGAAGAAACAGGTATATGAAACCGAGCCTGAGGAGAAGAAGAAGTGTTGGGAATAGAAGCAGCAGCAGAACTGGGAGCAACAGCAGAACTTGGAGACAGGTTAGCGAATGGGGGAAGAGGGACACAACATGAGCTTGGCTTTAAGATACAAAAAACGAGAAACAGAGAGGGGCTTAGTGAATATGTCAGCCAGCTGATCAATGGTAGGAATGTACTGAAGAAGCAACTTTTTCGCCAGAACTTGATCACGCACGTAATGACAATCGACCTCAATGTGTTTAGAACGTGAATGAAAAACAGGATTGGAGGCTAAGGCAATTGCAGAAACATTATCACACCACAGGGTAGGAAGCACTGGCGAGACAATAGATAAATCGTGAAGAAGCATGCCAATCCAAGCTAACTCAGCAGCAGTATGAGCAAGAGACCGATACTCGGCCTCAGTCGAAGAGCGGGACACGGTTGGTTGCTTTTTAGCTGACCAAGAGACAAGATTACTACCCAGAAAAATGCAGTAGCCTGAAGTGGATTTACGGTCAAGTAGATCACCAGCCCAATTGGAATCAGAGAATGCATGAACATCAAAGGAACTAGGAGAAAAAGATAAACCATGAGTAAGAGTGCCTTTGACAAAACGAAGCAATCTCTTCACAGCAGCAAAATGTCCAACAGTGGGTGAATGCATATGTTGGCAAGACTGATTTACAGCTAAGGAAATGTCTGGTCGAGTAATGGTGAGATACTGAAGAGCCCCAACCAAACGACGATAAAGAGCAGGATCAGAAAATGACTGAGCAGCATCGGGAGGAAGAGTTGGCTTGACAGAGATGGGAGAGGAGCAAGGCTTACAGTCAGCGAGACCAGCTTTCTTGAGAATGTCTTGTGCATATTTGGTTTGAGATAAAACATAGCCGGCTGCAGTGGCGGTGATAGAAATACCAAGGAAGTAAGAGAGGTTGCCGAGTTCTTTCATGGAAAAAGCTGTGTGCATATGAGAGATAAGGGACTGAATATGACAAGGATTATTGCCAGTAAGCAATATGTCATCAACATAGACTAAAAGAATAGTAATATTGGAGCCCAATTTCTGAATAAATAAGGAAGAGTCACACTTGCTGTTGGAAAATCCTTGAGAGAGTAGATAGGTGGAAAATGTGGAGTACCAGGCTCGGGGGGCCTGTTTGAGCCCATATAAAGCTTTGTGGAGATGACAGACATGGTGAGGATGAGCTGAATCAACAAACCCAGGTGGTTGGAGCATAAACACCTCTTCTTCGAGTATACCATGCAAGAAAGCATTGGATATATCTAACTGTTTCAGGGGCCAACCATGATGAAGAGCCAAGCAAATCACAATTCGGATAGTGGGAAGTTTTGCCACTGGGCTGAAAGTTTCTTGAAAATCAACCCCTGCTTGTTGAAGATATCCCTTGGCAACAAGGCGAGCCTTATGCCGAGCAATAGTACCATCGGAATTTCTTTTAACGCGAAAAACCCACTTGCAACCAATAGCATTTTTAGCAGGAGGCAAAGAAACCAAGGACCAAGTCTTTTGTTTGTGTAAGGCATCAATTTCATCTGTCATGGCTTTATGCCAAATAGGAGAATGAAGAGCTTCCTTATAGGAAGGAGGTTCAATATCAGAATAGAGAGGAGCAGATAGAGTAGAAGGCTGTGGAGAATTAGTATGAATCAAACAATGGGAAGAAACCTTGGATCGAGTAACCATGGGATGAACATTAGAAGGAGGAGGAAGAGGCAAATCAATGGAAATAGAGGAAATGGGAATAGGTACAGGTGGAACAGATGGAGAAGAAAGTGGTGAATGCATCATATTCAGACGGCAAACCATTCAAGGTAATTAACACCAAATCTTCATCTTCAACGATTACTGAAGCAAGTGCTAGTTGACTGACTAAGGCCTTTATCTTTGAGAGATACTCCTCCATTGTATCTGATTTCTTGGAAACAAGATTCAACTTGTTCTTCAATTGATGGATATGAGACCGAGACAGAGATGTAAATCTCTTGTTCAGAGAAGACCAGATCTCAGAGCAACTCTGATATTGAAGCACAGTTGAGTAGATTGGTGGTGTAAGTGTAGCAGTGATACAGCTCAATAGATGAGCATCTATCATACGCCAGTGAAGATAATCGGGATTAGGCACTTCCTTTCCTGATGAATCTGTGATTGTAAGAGAAGGACACGGTGTTGAACCATCAACAAAACCTAGAAGATTAGTAGCTCTGAGAATGTTGGACAATTGATTTTTCCAAATGACAAAGTTTGATCCATCGAGCTTTACAGTAACAAATGAAGAAAGATTGGAGATCAGCAGAGTTAAGTTTGAAGGCAGTGAAGAAGATAAAACAGATGAAGATAGGGAAGATGAAGTTGCCATGGATCAAGTGCCCGTGAGAGCATCAATGCTCTGATACCATGAAGAAAAACACAGAACAAGTATTTGTTATTCTATTATTCAACTCAATTTCAATCATATACAAATATCCAGTAGCCCTCTCTATATATACAAGAAGAAGATAACTAACTCTTAGCTAACAAACCACCTAACAAACTATCTAACTAACTGAAACAAATGTTCAGATATAGCTGCAGCACAGGAATGATACAATGAGACCTCAGTTAGCTCCTTGACCTCTTTGAGATTCTTGATCTGTTGAACTGGAAACTTCTGCAGAGTCAGAGTTAGTATCCTCAACAATCTGCTCAATCCACATCTACCGGATTGACGGACAGATGCGGATTGATTTTTTTCAATCCACCAATCTGACAGACGGATGACGGATTGAAGGTTCCATGGCCACAACCAACTCACGCCCACCCCTAGATATAGTAATAATTATAATAAACAAAGGGTACATTCGAAAATAAACAATGCTACACTTTTGATTAACCTGCGTACAACCGTGTCAGTCCTCCAAACCAAACTCCTTTGCCCATAGCTTGCGACACACTCACCTTGCACACATCGCGTATCATTTCCCCTTATACACTATGTCATGTAATACATATATGTCTCCCGCTTCTCTTCTTCCCTTACTATCTAAACCACCTGAAACTTTAAAAAAATCTTTAAAAAAAACTCTCCCAAATCTCACGTTGCCTCATTCATTCACATTACTTTTCATAATCACAGTTTGAAGTCGAAGTCGAAATTGAAGATGTAGAGGAAGAAATCTAGCGTAGTTGCAAGAGCATGGAACATCCTCCGACTAGCCTTGCTATGGGCAAGAAAATGCGGAGTTTTCAAAATCAAGAGACTCGTGATGGACCTCCGTCGCTTTCACAAATTCCTCAAAACCCTAGCCCACTACTCCACCGATTGCCACCGCAGCGCCACCACCATTCATTACGGTGAGCGCCAACTTTCCTTCAACAACACCCCCATTATTCACGCCAAGATGCACCACCCTTCCTCGATGCGATTCAAGATGCCTCGCATCCCTTGCATAAATCATCCTCAAGTTGATTTCGATTACGATTTCGAGTCCAATGGTGACAATGACTATGAAATGAATTGTGATTTTATTGATGATGATAATGATGGAGCAAGGAAAAGTTTCTTGAAAGGTGGAAATGAAGATGATTGCGAAGACATTGTTGCTTGTGACGATGAAGGGATTGATCTCAAGGCAGAGCAATTTATAGCTAAATTCTATAAGCAAATGAAGATGCAGAGACAGGTCTCATATTTACAGTACAATGAGATGATTGATAGAGGCACAAATTGATCACCACCGGAGTTCATATTTTTGACTTGCACACACACACACACACATGTATAGATTGTATGAATAAGAAACATTGCAGCATTTCTATAAATACCGGAGGCTTCGGTTGAGTGTTCACATTTTTCTCAAATAAAGCATTTCAGTTTTTTTTTTTTTTTGATTCATGAAATGGTTGTGTTGTGTTCTGGATGGACCGGACAGAGTGGACTCAAGGCCTACCAACCTTTTTATTATTAGTATTTTATTTGTAATCATCACAAACACAATGATTATTTACAATCATCGTAATTATAAGACTGGACATTTAACTATATAAAATAAATAAAAATCCAGCCATGTTGGATTTTGGTATGAATCGCAAGTGTCTTGCATAGTTTGAATATATATATATATATATATATAACAAATTCAGTAAGATTTCCAAACCCACCTGGAGAACGTTCGAGCATCATTTCTTTCTTGATTGTTGCAAATGTTAGGTGGAAAAGATGAAACAAATGTTGGAATTTTGATCTTTTGGAGCAATTTGAAAAGGCAGCAGATTGTCTCCAATCTACAAAGTGGATTCGATCATGTTATTCGGACTTGTGGGACTCATCACGAGTTTCGACTCGATAATTCAAACTATTTATTTTTTAGATCACAATATGTAGATTATTCATGAAAAAATCAAGTTGATCCGATAACTATAGTTATGTTATTTTATGGCATTTATTTGCAAAAAAATAAATGACAAATATTATTTGAAAATTAGACTATTCATTTTTTGAGAGACAAATATAATAAACTAAGATAACTATGATTATCAAATCAATATTATTTTTTTCCATACATGATGTACACGTTGCGGTCTAAAAAATAAAAGATTTAGATAATCGAGAAAGGACCCGTAGAGGGCCTTACAAATCCAAACAGCACGGTCCAATCCTGAAGACAAGTTCAAATGCGAAACACTCTTAACAATGTTATTTTTTTCAGGAGGACGATTTTGGATCGGAATGGGCTATTTGGGCACGTCAAGTCCACTACAAGTTCCATTTCAATGATTCGAACAGTTCATTTTGTTGGGCATTTTGTTTATTTCATTCACAAAAAAAACTAGGTCGATCCAATAACTATAACTTGTTTAACTTATCGAGTTTTCACTAAAAAAATGGACGACAATTGTGTTTTTAAAAAATGAACCGTACATTTTTTTTATGACAAAAATAATAAATTGAATAAGTTGCAACTATTGGATCGATCTAATTTTTTTATGGATGAAATATACGAAATGCCCGAAAAAATAAACAATTCGAATCATTGAAACGGGACCTATGATAGACTCTCAAGGGCCCAAACAGCCCCCTCCAGTCCAAATTTTAGACATGAGGGAATCCTCTTTTTTTCATGAGTTTTGCTTCCTTTTTTTTTCTTTTCTTTTCTTTTTTTCCTTCTAATTATGTCAATTTTTTTAATTGTCTTATATAAATGAAAGGTGAAGCACCAATAAATTCCAATTTGTGAACTTGTATACAAGTTAGTCGTGCCTTTTTTTTGTTAAACCAAAAGGTCCTAAAACAATTAGATTGACACATCTATCCTCTTCCATGCACATTTTTATGTGTTTAATGGGGGTGAATGTGGAATTTTGTTGTGGGTGAAATTATATTTGTGGACATAAAGGGCACTATAGGCATTTTTTGGTTTCCCTCTTTTTGATTGAATGTTTGATCTGCATATGGAAACATTGCCAAGAAACATTTTCACATTAAAATGTTTCCATATTAGGGGATTAGAACACTATATGTGATTGAGGGTTTTCTGAAGGAATTAAATTACAAATTCTCTTCTTGGAATTTTTTAAAATATAGATTGCCCCCATGATTTTGAAAATTATAAAAAATCTTATTATTAGAATTATTTATTTAACAAAGCTAATAGAAAAAAATATATAATTTTTCTCCTATACAATAGTAAAATTATTTGAGTTATTAATTAAAATAATTTTTTTTACATCATTAAAATACATTAATTAATTTTTAAAAATTTATTAATAAAGCAAGTAATTTGTTAAACGATGAAAATTTTGAAGAGATATGGTACATAATTTTTAAAATTATAAGATAATTTGCATTTTAAACAATCATAATTTATTATTGAAAAATAAAAATAAGAAAAAAAATTCAAACACTAGAATAAACTCTCTCCACAGTGACGTTATATAGATTTAAAGAATGGTAAATTATGTTAAATCCCCTCAAACTATTGACCATTTATACTTTATCATTCTAATATTTTAAACTTAACAATTATTCCCTCAAATTATTTGAATTTGAACATTAAGTCATTTTGTTAGTTATCTATTAAATTTTTTTTTTATTCAAATATCTAACAGATAACTAATAGAAGGATTTAATGTTCAAATTCAAATAGTTCAAGGGGGTAATTGTTGGGTTTAAAACATTAGGGGGTATAATGTAAATTGTCAATAGTTTGAGGGGGTTTAATATAATTTGCCTTTTAAACAATAATCAACTTGTTTGATTTGAGTTTTCTGAATTAACTTTTCAAAAAACTGAAACATTTTATTTTCTGTATTTTTTTTTCACTGAATCATTTTAATATTTTAAGCAATTTTTTTAATTTTTAAAATACACCTAATCGAAATACACTTAAAAAGTATAATATTTATAAAAACAAATTTAAAACCAAAAATAAATAAATAAAAATTCAATACATTTTTTATATTCTTGTGTATTTATCAATTTTTTAAAATATTTTTTATAAATATTTTACTTTTTAGATACATTTAAATAAAATATATCTAAAACAATAAAAAAAATATTTAAAATTTTAAAAATATTTACTAAAAATAAAAAGAGTAAGACATCATACCATAAAAGAAAACATACCTAAATGATTTAGAAGGAAACATCCAAAAATAAATGAAGCAACATTTTTTAAAATGGAATTTTTGAATAATTTTTCCAAATAAGAATATATAAAAAATAAAAAATTAATTTTAAAAAAATTGAATTCTACTATTTATTGGAAGCACAACGCATAACCATGTATGTATTCTCTCCTCGTTCACAGAGTTCTCTCTAATTCTTGTGTGTCCTACAAGACCTTTGCATTCAAAATCTATTTATCTTTTATTAAAAAAATGAAAGCAATCCTAAAGGCCTTTGCTAGTATAAAAATTGCATAAAAATGTGTTAAAGTGAGAATGTAAAGGAATTTCTTAGAAATACTATTTAAAAAAAAAACCAAAGGGACAATTTTATGTTATTTTTTTAATAATGCAAGTAAACTTCAAAATTCCTAAATTAAACCAAAATAACATACCATAAATGAAGCAACATTTTCGGAAATGAAGCAACATTTCCAAAGAAGAAGAAATAAATGAAGCAACATTTTCGGAAATGAAGCAACATTTCCAAAGAAGAAGAAAACATCCAAAATTAAATGTAGCAACATTTTCTGAAATGATTTTTTTTTTTTTTAAAAAAAGTCCAAATAAAAATATATAAAAATTATTGGAAGCACAGTGCATAACCATGTATGCATTATTAAATAAAATAAAATAAAATAAAGAATTGTCCCTTTGTTTTTTATTTTTAAATATTATTTCTAAGAAATTCTTTTACATTTTCACTTTTATATGTTACGCTTTTTTTAATAAATATAATGTAAAATTTTGCCAAAGTTGTGATAATTTATAATTTAGAAATAAAGTTAGTATTTTGTAATAATGTTGTATATAAATATGTATAATTACTACAAAAATACGTAAGATGCTTATACAGCATTTGAAGAGTGTGGGATTCCCTTTCTATAAAATTTCAATTTCTTATATAATTTTATTCAGTTGAATAAGAAAGTACGTAAAATAGAATTTTAAGCTCAATATAATTCTTTTGCTTTCTATTTGAATGAGTCATTTAATAAAAATAAATAAATATAGTATCTAATTTATTAAAAATTCATATTTCACATATTTTATACACCTTTTACATATTTTAATAAAATTTTTATGCACATACCAATATTAACCACTGTCCAATGCCCTATGGTAAATATAGATGAAATTACTCATAAAATTTAGCCCTTGTTTGGGAAGTGACTTTTTTTTATTTTTATTTTTTGACTAAAATATGAATTTGTGACTTTTTAAAATATTTTTAATTTTTTTGACTTTTTAAATAAAATAGTCACTTGCTAACTCAATTCCGTTTCTAAATTTCAAAAATAAAAATGCTATGAACCTATCCTTATCAACCCATAATTCACCTTGAATGTGTTTGTATAGTGGAGATTAAATTGATGAAGTGTGTGGTTCATGAGTAAAATGAATTTGAACCAATAATTCATTTTTCTGAGTAAATTCTACATTGACAAGGGTGAGTTTGTAGTATTGTTTCAAAAATCAAAATCTATTTATCTTTTATTAAAAAAATAAAAGCAATCCTAAAGACCTTTATTAGTATTGAAAAATTGTATAAAAAATGTGTTAAAGTGAGAATGTAAAGGAATTTCTTAGAAATACTATTTTTTTAAAAAAACAAACAAAGGGACAATTTTATTTTATTTTTTTAATAATGCAAGTAAACTTCAAAATTCCTAAATCAAACCAAAATAACATACCATAAATGAAGCAACATTTTTGGAAATGAAGCAACATTTCCAAAGAAGAAGAAAACATCCAAAATTAAATGTAGCAACATTTTCTGAAATGAATTTTTTTTTTTTTAAAAAAAAAGTCCAAATAAAAATATATAAAAATAAAAAATTAATTTTTTAAAAATTAAATTCCAATATTTATTGGAAGCACAGTGCATAACCATGTATGCATTATTAAATAAAATAAAATAAAATAAAGAATTGTCCCTTTGTTTTTTATTTTTAAATAATATTTCTAAGAAATTCTTTTACATTTTCACTTTTATATGTTACGCTTTGTTTAATAAATATAATGTAAAATTTTGCCAAAGTTATGATAATTTATAATTTAGAAATAAAATTAGTATTTTGTAATAATGTTATATATATTTTAATAAGTAATATTTTTTAACAATAAAATATGTATAATTACTACAAAAATACGGAAGATGCTTATACACCATTTGAAGAGTGTGGGACTTCGTTTCTATAAAATTTCAATTTCTTATATAATTTTATTTAGTTGAATAAGAAAGTACGTAAAATAGAATTTTAAGCTCATTATAATTCTTTTGCTTTCTATTTGAATGAGTCATTTAATAAAAATAAATAAATATAGTATCTAATTTATTAAAAATTCATATTTCACATATTTTATACACCTTTTATATATTTTAATAAAATTTTTATGCACATACCAATATTAACCACTGTCCAATGGCCCATGGTAAATATAGATGAAATTACTCATAAAATTTAGCCCTTGTTTGGGAAGTGATTTTTTTTTTTTGATTTTGATTTTTTGACTAAAATATGAATCGGTGACTTTTTAAAATATTTTTAATTTTTTTGACTTTTTAAATAAAATAGTCATCAGCTAACTCAATTCCGTTTCTAAATTTCAAAAACAAAGATGCTATGAACCTACCTTTATCAACCCATAATTTAACCTAAATGTGTTTGTATAGTGGAGATTAAATTGATGAAGTGTGGGGTTCATCAGTAAAATGAATTTGAACCAATAATTCATTTTTCTGAATAAATTCTAAATTGACAATGGTGAGTTTGTAGCATTGTTTTAAAAATCAAAATCTATTTATCTTTTATTAAAAAAATGAAAGCAATCCTAGAGACCTTTGCTAGTATTGAAAATTTGTATAAAAAATGTGTTAAAGTGAGAATGTAAAGGAATTTCATAAAAATACTATTTTTTAAAAAAAACAAACAAAGGGACAATTTTATTTTATTTTTTTAATAATGCAAGTAAATTTCAAAATTCCTAAATCAAACCAAAATAACATACATAACTGAAGCAAGATTTTCGGAAATGAAGCAACATTTCCAAAGAAGAAGAAAACATCCAAAATTACTTATTGTAAGCACAGTGCATGCATTCTCTCATTCACAGAACGAACTCTCCCCCTCTCTCTCTCTCTGAAGAAAAACTCCACCACCTCCAATGAATTCCTATTCTTCAACCTTTTACTTTTTATTTTTTATTTTTTTTTCCCTCCAATCCCTTGACATGTGGTTGTGGGGGTCATTAATCATCTTTGCTCTCGAACTCGCACCAGTAATACTCTTTTCAAAGCGTAACAGTGGCGTCGACGTTCACTCCTCCAACAATGGGGAAGCAAACGTCGACTACAGTGCTCCTGCAAGTCCTTCTCCTATTGCAACTGAGTCTTGCTCGTTCGAGTTCCAATTTTCACCGAGCGATATCAGTCCGGCCGACGACCTGTTCTTGAACGGTCACATCCGGCCGATGTCACCACTACCACTACGAACAGCACAAGAAAAAGAAGAAGAAGTGGATATTCAAGAAGAAGAAGAAGTGGATATTCAACGCATTCTGGAGTTGGCTCCGTCGATCGAGACAACCCCTTCATCGTCTGGAAGGAAGAAGAAGTGGATATTCAAGGTCTTCACTTGCTCATCATCGAAGGAAAAGAAAATGCAAAAGCAAAAGCGAAGAAAGCCTAGGGTTCAACGACTGCTCGGATGTCTAGGGATTAGTGTCTCTGTTGTCGAGCAATTTTAGTGCCATTGCAAAGCAAAATAGATTTGAATAGTTTTCTATGTTTATCAATTGTATTTTGAATGGTTCTTGGATGGAAAATAGTTTTAAATCTTTAGTACACACTTTATTTGATGGAAAAAAATTGAAAGAAAAAATGTATTGTTAATTCTGATAGCATCATATTGGATTGGAAGTCTGTTACAATTTTGCAGTTTTCATGGAATTATATTTAATATATTTCTTTATTATTTTTTCCCCCTTCACAGAGCATTAGGCAATTTTGCTGTTGTTCTTCAAACAACTCTGTGGTTTAAACTGTCTCTGATTGTAACAGTTCTATTAGCATTGGCATACACAATTTTGTGCATTCTGGCATTTGTTAGAAATACCCAGTTGGAAGATAAGCTAGTTGATGGACTGTTTTGGTTGATTCAAGCAATAACTCATGTAACAATTACAATATTGATTGTCCATGAGAGGAGATTCCAAGCTGTTTCTCATCCTTTGCCGCTTCGAATTTATTGTGTTGCAAATTTCATCATCATTTCTCTGTTCAGTGTTTCCGGGGTCATTCCTGTAATCTCTATAGAAGAACTTGATTTTGTTTTGAGACTGGATGATATAATTTCATTCATTTCTTTTCTGTTATCGATTGTACTCCTTATGGTTGGCATAAAAGGATCAACCGGGATTACTATGAGGAGCGAATCCGATTCAGTTATGGATGTAGAACCTGAATTATATGAACCCCTATTGAATGGATGCAATGTGGGTGGCTTTGCTAAGTCTTCTATCATTTCCAAAGCTTTTTGGCTATGGATGAATCCCTTACTGAGTAAAGGCTATAAATCTCCTCTCATGTCTGATGATATCCCGGCCCTTTCGCCAGAACATAGAGCTGAAAGAATGTCTGCACTCTTCAAATTGAACTGGCCGAAGCCTCATGAAAAATCGAAGCACCCTGTTCGAACCACGCTGCTTCGGTGCTTCTGGAGGGAAATCGCTTTCACTGCCTTCCTTGCAATTGTGCGTGTTTGTGTCGTGTATGTTGGGCCTGTTCTTATTCAGGGTTTTGTTGATTTCACCTCGGGGAAGGGGAGCTCCCCCTATGAAGGATACTACCTTGTTTTCACTCTCCTCATTGCTAAATTTGTGGAAGTTTTGACCTCTCACCAATTCAACTTCAATTCTCAAAAGCTTGGAATGCTCATTCCATCTGCCCTCATTACTTCTTTGTACAAGAAGGGCATGAGGATGCCATGTTCGGCTAGACAGGCTCATGGGGTTGGACAAATTGTAACTTACATGGCTGTCGATGCTCAGCAGCTCTCTGATATGATGCTGCAGCTACATGCTGTATGGCTTATGCCACTGCAAGTTTCTGTTGCCCTAATACTTCTGTCTCGCTGCCTTGGTACCTCAACAATTACAGCTCTAGTGGGGCTTGTAGTGGTTATGTTGTTCGTTTTGATGGGCACTCGAAGGAAAAACTGGTTCCAACACAATGTGATGAAAAACCGGGACTCTAGAATGAAGGCGCCAAATGAGATGCTTAATTACATGCGCGTAATTAAGTTCCAGGCATGGGAAGAGTACTTCAACAAACGAATTCAATCTTTTCGCGAATCAGAATTTGGGTGGCTAACCAAGTTCATGTACTCAATATCTAGCAATATCATGTACTCAATCTTATAGAACTATTAATGTTGGTGTCACGTAGAATGGTGTGGAGGTAATACAATGGAGAATTTGGATCATCTATAGTGCACTTCCTATAGTTTATTAGTTTGTAGTGCTTTTAAAATAAAAGAGCAAAGTTAAAAACGAGACATTGGTTTTGTTTTTATTTATTTATGTGGCATATTGTTATTAAAAACACCACAGATTACATTATAGAAAGTGCATAATAGAGATACACTAGAGAGAATTTAAATTCTTACAAATATAGCCAATCAAAATAAAGTTTAATGTCCTAGCATAAAGAAACTAACATTCTTAAATGTTTCAATAGCTCAATCTAACAAAATCAAAGATCAATCTAACAAAATCAAAGATCGAAATTGACATGTGAATGTTTTTGTCTTCTATTGTTTTCCTTTCGTTGTATCATGAATTTGATTTCCATGCCCAACAAAAAAACAAATATGCCAATGTCCCCTTCTGCCTCTAATGGTGCATTGAGAATACTATCACCTCGAGTCAAGACTCGAAACTTTTCTTTGGACGTGAACTACATTTTCCTGTTGAGGGAAGATAAGTTTGTTTTCTGTATTGAATCTAATAAAATGAACGAAACCTAAATTGAACATTGTTTCTATTTTGTTGAAGTAAGAAAGGTTAAAAGAAAGACTGATTGGGACCTAAATATTGAAAATAAAGCATGCTAGTCAATTTCATATATACTGAAGCGGCTAATTTGTGTCTTTCCTTTCCCAATATTATCAGCTGTAGATGACATAGCAACAAGACACTAAGAATGGCCCAAAAAAATGTGTAGATACAAAGCCTGCAATTTGTAGAATTTCCATTTCCAAAAACAAGTCTAAAAATCACCTCACTGTACAAACAAACAATTGCTATGACTCATGCATAAGGGAGAGCACTTAACAACAAAAATTATGCATCCAACGAGAATTTGACAAACTTCAAAATATAGATTAAAAAAAAAGTAGACAACAACATTAATATAGCGATAACGCAATCAACAGCAGCTGATAACGCAGTCACCTTCAACGCTACTTCACCCACCAAACCAAACGTCAATAAAAAAAAATTGAAGATAATAAGAGCAGAATATAAACCAATATGCAATAGCCAATATCAAACCACATCTTTCTTTATTGAAGTTCAAAGCTAATTTGTAAAGACAGATAATTGAAATAACAACATCAACAATAAGTAAAGCAATAAATCCATTAAAATGAGGAAACTCAACTATAACAATATATATCTGGTAACACACATCGAGAACAATCCAAAGCTACTCATCAGAACAATGGAAAGAAAGAGATACCCATAAATCAGGAAGAGCCAATTCAAGTTTACAAAGGCCACCAGTCTGTCCAAGCCCCAGAGACATGCCCATTCTCAGACATAAGCTCGAACAACCGGTTCGCCGTCTTCATGGAACCCAGAATCCCTCCTCAAACAGAAGGCAGAATGCAGATCCCAAGTCTGTTTGCACGAGCAAAATGCACAATTCAGATCAATCTTGCTACGATTCACATCGTTTATCGTCCTCCAAACCCTGGATTTCTTGAAATTCTTGAAAATCCCCCTGAAAAGCATGTAATCTCTCTCCTCTTCAATGTGATCACAACCAGGCCTATCACAAATGTATAAACAATCCCCTCCGAATCGACTATCGAGTAATTTATTGCCCTGTTCGCGACTCAAATTCCAAACCCCAGAAGCCAAATGAGACCTAAGTGATCTGCAAATTTTCCTTCTCTTACATACAGAAAAATCACAAGCTGTCTTAACAACACCATTTTCAGGTTCTTCATCCATTTCAGATCGATCTTGAGATTCAGAAGCATTATAAACAGTATCAAAATAGAGATCATCAAATAAAGACCAAGAACACTCAGACCCAGAAACAACCGCCTCTGAATTACCTTCAATTGCGCTCGAAGAAGGCATTGTTCGGGACTGACCCAATTGAAATAACCTGTTTTCGTGGTAATTCTCATCGGGTGCGATCTCTCGCTCGATCCCAAAATCCGAATTCTCCAACAAGACTCCGGCGTGGAGGAAGCAGACGGCGAGCTTGTGGAGAGAGGCCCATCCGCCGAGAGGGGCGGTGGCGGAGTCGGAGGGGAGATCAAAGACCACAGAGGGGATTGTTTGGGAGCATTTTATTTTCCAACAAACGGTGCGAATCAGAGAAGAGAATTTTGTGCAAACGCAAGCCAGTCTAGCCCAGTTTCGAGGATCGTCTCCGAGCTTGAAGAAAATGTTGAGAACAACGTCCTCGGCGAGCTTTGAAAACCCTGTATCGGTCATTTTCGCTACAAACAGAGAAATGGGTATTGATTTATAAGGAAGAAATTAAGAACAAATCTTCTATTGTTCTGTTTTTCTAATGGATTTGTGAGATGGGTATCAACTGTTCTTGGATTTCTTTCGAAATTTTCAGATGGGTATACCTAAATCGAAGAGAAAACGATAAAAAAAAAAAATTAAAAAAAGAAAAAGAAAGAAAGAAAGATGAATTGCTCTGTGTTGTAAATTCGTGATTAGGTAAAGATGGGTACGGAATTGCTACAATTTTTTCAAAGGTTTTCCAAATTTCTCAGAAGAAAAAAAGAGACTACGGGTATGTTTGGTTTGGTTTTGAGAGGGTAGTTTTTAAAAATTATTTTGGAGAAAGAGTTTAGAAATTTTTTTGATTTATTTGGTTGTGTATTTTGAAAGTAGTTTTGGAGTGTGGGAGTTTAAAATGATTTGATATTTTATTGTAACTGAGTAGATGTGTGTAAGAGAAAAAGTAATTGAGAAGGAGAGAGGAGAAAGAAAAAGTGATTGATTGATGTGTAAGAGAAAAAAATTGATTTTAGAAATTATTTTAGAAAAATTACAAACTAAACAAATTTTTTAGATTTTTTTTTTATAAAATCACCCTATAAAGCCAAACCAAGCGTACCTTACATCTCACTAGCAAATGTGTAACTCAGGGTTGTGCCGATTTCTGTAACAACCGCGATTGAGAGCCCGAATCGAGCTCCCCCGAATGCCTCGGAACGACAAAACGACGTCGTTTCGTCGTTTTATTTTTTTTATTTTTGCAATCAGAAGTTCAGAAGAAGACGAAAGAAAGAAGGAGAGAAGAAGAAAGAAGAAGAAAGAAAGGGGAGGAAGAGGCAGAGGCAGGGGCGGGGGGACGGAGGCAGATGCAGGGGCAAAATGCAGGGGGAAGAGGCAGAGGGCGGGCAGAGGCGGCGAAGCAGAGGCGGAGGCGGCGATGGAGGCGGGCCTGCGACGATCGGACAGAGGCGACGGCGGAGGGCTGCGACGGCGGGCGGAGGGCTGCGACGACCTGCCTCCTCTCTCTCTCTCTCTCTCCCTCTCCCTCTCCGGCACAAATTTTTCGAGGCACAAATCTTTTCTCTTTTAATATAAAAATTATTTGACCAATTATCTCAAAAAAATCAATTCACTTTTGACCAAGAATAAAGATTTGTAGCTCGAAACTTTTTTTCTCGAATCTCTCGAATGCCCAAAACGGTGTCATTTTGAGCATTTTTTTTTTCCTTTTTTTTCTTCCATTTTCCAGTCGTTTTTCCATTTTCCATTTTCATCACAGAGAGAAAGAGGGAGAGAAAGAGAAAAGAAGAGGGGAAGAAAGAAAGAGAAGAGAGGTTCGCCGATCGCTGTCGCAGCCCAGCCCCGCCGTCGCAGCTGCTCCGATCGTTGCAGCAACAGCTCGTCGCAGCCCCAGCCCCGCCTTCGACCGCCGTCGCCTCCGGTCCCACCTCCGCCTCCAGCCCGATTTTGTTGGCCCCCTCCCCTCCAGATCTTCTTCTTCTTCTTCTCCTTCTTCCTCTGATTTTCTTCTTCTGAAAAAAAAAAGACTTGAAATCATGACTTAAAAACTTAGGGAAAATTGGCCTAAGGTCCCTCCTCTACTTTTGATATGAGGAGAGGTCCTTTATAATATGTTTTGATGGCTAAGATCCCTCAAATTTATTTTAGGTTATAAAGTACCTAAATTACCCTTCTTTTATAACATAAATTTGTTTGAATATTATATTGTTGACTTAACTGATAGATTTTGGAAACCGAATTTGAAGTGGAGATTTTGTCGGAGTTTTCGTCGGAGATTTCAGTGGTGTTACAGTGTGTTGATCGCGTAGATTTTCAGTGGAGTTGATTCAGGTTTGTTTTCGATGGAGATCGCACATGCATTTTGATTTTTGTTTTGAATTTTTGTGTAGAGAGAGGCCAGGTTGATAGAGTTGATTTTTATTTTTGGAATTGATTTTTTATTATTTGTTTTTTAATCAATTTCAAAGAGTGTTGACAGTGTTTTGATCGCGTAGGTTTTTGAGTTGAGTTGAATTAGGTTTGTTTTTTATTTAGATTCCACATGGATTTTGATTTTTGTTTTGAATTTTTGTGTAGAGAGAGGCCAGTTTGATAGAGTTGATTTTTATTTTTGGAATTGATTTTTTATTATTTGTTTTTTAATCAATTTCAAAGAGTGTTGACAGTGTTTTGATCGCGTAGGTTTTTGAGTTGAGTTGAATTAGGTTTGTTTTTTATTTAGATTCCACATGGATTTTGATTTTTGTTTTGAATTTTTGTGTAGAGAGAGGCCAGTTTGATAGAGTTGATTTTTATTTTTGGAATTGATTTTTTATTATTTGTTTTTTAATCAATTTCAAAGAGTGTTGACAGTGTTTTGATCGCGTAGGTTTTTGAGTTGAGTTGAATTAGGTTTGTTTTTTATTTAGATTCCACATGGATTTTGATTTTTGTTTTGAATTTTTGTGTAGAGAGAGGCCAGTTTGATAGAGTTGATTTTTATTTTTGGAATTGATTTTTTATTATTTGTTTTTTAATCAATTTCAAAGAGTGTTGACAGTGTTTTGATCGCGTAGGTTTTTGAGTTGAGTTGAATTAGGTTTGTTTTTTATTTAGATTCCACATGGATTTTGATTTTTGTTTTGAATTTTTGTGTAGAGAGAGGCCAGTTTGATAGAGTTGATTTTTATTTTTGGAATTGATTTTTTGTTATTTGTTTTTTAATCAATTTCAAAGAGTGTTGACAGTGTGTTAATCGCGTAGGTTTTTTAGTTGAGTTGAATTAGGTTTGTTTTTTATTTAGATTCCACATGGATTTTGATTTTTGTTTAGAGAGAGGCCAGCTTGATATAGTTGATTTTTATTTTTTGGAATTAATTTTTCATTCTTTGTTTTTTGATCAATTTCAAATAGTGTTGACAGTGTAGGTGATTTTGATGTTTAGAGTTCATTTTTGGTGCTCTGTTTTTTATCAACATGCTGATCAATGATAAGTTTTGTTCTATGTTTTTTCAAACCAGAGAAATTTCATTTTCTGCACTATTGTTTGTGTAGTCCAGAGGAAATTATAAGTGCATATGGACATATTATTAGAAGTTTGTAATGGCGATAGAATATGAGAAAGTGAATGTAAGTTCATAAATTTCTCTATACTTGTATTTGTAGTTCAGAGAAAATTGTAAGTTTGTTACTCACTTTCAGTTTGTAGTTCAGAGAAAAGTATTTTTCTGGACTTGTATTCTATGTGATTTTTTTTCTATAATTGTGTTTAATTGTTAGCAGTAAATTTCTCTGTGATTCATTAAGTTTCTGTGATTTTGTTTTTTATCATCTTGAAGGTGAATATCAGTTTGTAGATGTCTTTGGAGTTTTATTTTAAGTTCAGAGAAAATTATAATTTTTAGAAATTTCTCTGGACTTTTATGTTGTTCTTGTGAAGTGTTTCTATGTTAAACAAATTATTTTTGCTGTTTTTTGTTTCAGTTTCAATGGACAGTGCAGTGTTGTTGCTGTGCAAATATGGAAATGATACTATTGTCATTAATGTTTCATGCGAATTGAATTTTGAGGAATTGGTTGACATTTTGTGTAAAACATAGGAGATTTTGATACCTGAGACTATGTGTATTTCATATTCTATTTTGGGCCATCCGAATTGTATGGTTCGAAATAATATTGATTTTTTGAATATGTTGAGTGTTGTTTGTGCACGCGGTGTTGATATAATTGATATTTCAGCTACTAGATGTAGTACTTCTGATGAAGAGGATGAAGTGGGGTCTAATTGGGTAGATGTTATGGATGATGAGTGTGATAGGCTGGTGGATATTGAAAGGAATTCACTCTCTAAGTTTTGTTCTCACCAAGAAAAGGTGTTATTGTCGGCTAGTTGGCGGAATAATATTACGAGTGTTGGACAAAAGTTTGAGGGTGGTGTGGTTGAGTTTTGTTCTTTTTTATGCAAGTATGCTATTGAGGTTGGTTTTCAGTTTATGTATGTTAAAAATGACAAGCTGAGGGTTACGGCAGAATGTGCATATAAGGAATCAAGGGGATGTATGTGGCGTGTACATGCTTCTGTTGAAAAAACAAATGTGTTCTTCTACATAAGGACTTTGAACAATGAACATACGTGTGGTGTGGCGGTTCGTACGAGTGAACATTTGAGGATGACTTCCAGGTTAGTTTCTGAGCAGATACTTGAAGAGGTAAATGCAAAACCTTTAACTCGTCCAGTGGATGTTGTGAAAGAAATGAAAGACAAGTATGGGGTCTCAATCAGTTATAACTGTGGTTGGTTGGGTGTTGAAAAAGCAAAATGTAGTACATATAGGGATTCTTGTTTGTCATTTGATCAATTACGGTGGTATTTTGATGAGGCATTGAAAAACAATCCAGGTAGTCGTTTTGAGTTAGATTTTGAAGATAACAAGCGTTTCAAAAAAGTGTTTGTGGCTTTTCATGCATGCATTACTGGTTTCAAATATTGTGGGTCATTGCTTTTTCTTGATGAAATATTTTTGAAAGGACGATACAAAGGAGTTATGCTTGCTGCAACGGGGAAAGATGGGAATGAAGGTAATTGTAAATATATCTAATTTTATTTAACTATGTGAATTTTCTATACATGTAGGAATTGAGTGAATGTGAATTTTCTCTGGTTTTGGCCACTGCGTGGATTTTCTATTGTTGTGGCCACTGTGAGAATTTTCAATGGATTTTTGTCAGTGTATGAATTTTCTCTGGATGTTGTCATTGTGTGAATTGTATCTGTAGGTGGTCACTAAGTGAATTTTCTCTGTATATTATGATTGTGTGAATTTTCTCTGTAGCTGGTCACTTATTCAATTTTCTCTGGATGTTGCCAATGTGTGAATTTTCTCTGGATGTTGGCAGTGTCAAACTTCTCTTGTTGTTTTATTGTTCTATTTTTCTCTGTTGTTTTGTAGGTGGTCACTAAGTGAATTTTCTCTGTATATTATGATTGTGTGAATTTTCTCTGTAGTTGGTCACTAAGTCAATTTTCTCTGGATGTTGCCAATGTGTGAATTTTCTCTGGAGTTGGGCACTAATTGAATTTTCTCTGGATGTTGGCAGTATCAAACTTCTCTGGTTGTTTATTGTTATATTTTTCTCTGCATGTGTATATCTAATATGCTTGTTCCTATTTGTTTTGTAGGTTTTTTTCCTGTAGCTTTTGTTGTTGTTGATGCTGAGAATAAAGACAATTGGTGTTGGTTTCTTGAACATTTATGTGGAGTATTGGGATCAGAAAGGGTGATAAGTTTCATATCAGATAGACATTGTGGTATTGTGGAGGGAATTGCTAGGTTTTTTCCTAACTGCTTTCATGGATTTTGTCTGGAACATCTGAAGAGAAATTTGAGGGATAAGTTGTCATGTGGAAACACAAATTTGGTTAGGGAGATGATTGTGTCGAAGTTTTCAGAATGTGCATATGCTCCAACAAAGGCATCATTTCATTTCAAGTTAAATGAATTAAAAAGTGAGAGAGGAGACATTGTGAGTGTTTTCTTGAGAAGTTTACCATATGAAAATTGGAGTGATGCATATTTTGCGGGGAAGCGTTATGGTGAGATGTATTCAAATGTTGCTGAGTCATTCAATTCATGGATACAAGAAGCTCGGCACTTGCCAATAACAAATTTGGTGGACATGATACGGTTGCAAATCATGAATATGAGGTCTGATAGGAGGCTACTCTCTAGTAAATTGAATAAAATTCTGTGTCATCGTATGGATAGTGTGTTGGAGAAGTCTTTTTTAGATGGGAGGACATGGAATGTGAGTTTATCATCTGATAATGTCTTTGAAGTGCATTGTTTTCCTTCGGTTATGGTTGATCTTGGGTTGAGAACTTTTTCATGTCGAAAATGGGAAATAAATGGGTATCCATGTCAACATGCTGTTGCTGCAATTTTTAGGAGTGGAAAGAATTTGAATTCATTTGTTGAACCATTTTTTCATGCTGATATGTATCGTCAAACATACTCGTTTTCAATTGGCCCAGTTCCAATTGTTGAAAAACCTGTGTGTAGCATTGAAGATGCTATGATTTTACTTCCATTGAGCAAGAGACCTGCTGGGAGGCCAAAGAAGAATAGAATTGCTTCTACTGGAGAGTTTAAAAGGGAGATTAAGTGTAGTCGTTGTGAGAGTATTGGTCACCATAATAAGAGGACATGCAAGGAACCTTTGTTAAATAGTTGAGGATTATACATTTTATTGATTGAATAATACATTTGATGATTACTTTGTGTATTTTGTTTTGTGAAATTTATTTTTTGGACAGTGTATATAATAATATCAATCAAATTCATCCAGAGAAATTTTTCAATATGAGTTAAAGTGTGTTTGTTGATATATACTATAGGCAGTGGGTTTGTAGTACCTGTCAAATTCATCCAGAAAATTTTCCTATGGCAGAGAAAATTCTGTGTGTTGTGTTTTGAAGCTTCATATTCATCCACATAAATTTGACAATGGCAGACTAAAGTAATGTGTGGATTGTGTTTTTTGAATTTGATAATTGTTTTGTACTAATACGGTGCATTAGAGATTGAATGATCATATAGGCACCTTCTTTGGCGAAATATGAGTTAAATTTCTCTGTGAATTTCTGGTAACTTCATACCAGTCATTTCAAGAAATGTGCACACCAGACAGAGCATACAAAAAATTATTGTATAACCAAGAAACAAAATTAAGCTCTTTTGGAATTTCTCTGAGTTGAGAATTTCTCTGGACCAGGTGAGAATTTCTCTGGACTCACTTGAACTCAGAAATTTGTGTCAAAGCCAGAGAAATTTTTCTCACCAACTCGGAGAAATTCCTCCTCTCCAAATCACTCAACCTAGAGAAATTCATAACTCAAAAATTCCATTTTCTGTCACCATTTGAATCCGTCAATTTCATCCAGAGAAATTTTCCAGTGGCAGATAAAATTACTGTGCGCTTTGTGCTTTGTTGAGTTTGATGATTGTTTTGTATCAACACAAAGTATTACAGATTACATGATCATATAGGCATCCCCTTGGGACGATACAAGTTAAATTTCTCTGTGAATTTCAGGTAGTTCATACCAGAGAAATTTCTGCAGACAATTTTCTCTGGCAGACAATTTTCTCTATGAATGACAATAAAATATATATATATATATATATTTAACCATCGATAGGTATGAAATTCACATTAGTCGAAATAAAAAAAAAATGAAATTTAGATTAGTCAAGAAAGGATATATACATATAAGTCAAGAAAGGATATATACATATATGTCAAGGATCATCATCCCTTCAATGTATCAACAAAAAACTGAATGGTTAATACTGTATGGATATATACACATATGTGAGACAATTTTCTCTGTGTGGATATGTACATTGTCTTCCTTTCACTAGTTTCACTATTACATTTGTGGTTCTTCTGGAGGTATTTCAATTGGTTCAGTCCATGACCGGCCAACTTCGGTTACAAATCTCTCTATGAGTTCTGCCCTCATCAATCTTATCTCTTGTGTGGACAATTTGGAGCTGATAGGTTCATGCCTGCTATATTGTTTCATTATATAGCAGACAAAGAGGCCACAATCCAGACTGCATACAAATTATAGGTATGGTTAGTTTTAAGAAACATGCAAATCAGATTATCTTATTTATAGATGTATGAAACTTACGAATCACTTTCTTGTTGTGGAGCACTGTTGACATACTCAAAGTCGTAACTTGTGTTTTGTGAGTTTATTAATTTGAAAGGGGGTTGTGATTGAGCGACTCTTTCAAGGCAAGCTTTCAAAAAATTCTCCACGTAATCTTGCTGTAAAAAAATAATTTTTAAATAACAGAGAAATTTACGGACAAATCAATGGGATTCTATGAAAATTATCATCAGAGAAATTTGCACTCATTACCAATTCTTTTGCATCTTTGACATATTTGTCTTCTGCATCATCTCTCCTTGGCCTTAGTGAGTTGTAGAACCTCCATAAATTGTCTTGTTTGTCCAGGACAAGCAAGGTCCAGTGATTTCCATGTGTAGACTTCTCATTACCTCCAGTATTTATTGGGAAATGGAGGAACCTGTAGTTCCTCCATGCTGTTTCGATATGCTTGTCAAATAAGGACACTCGAAAAGTTTGATTTTCTGTCATCTTGATAAAATTCTATGTTCAGAGAAAATCAAAAAATGGTTTTGTTATGACTAGTGACACAACTGGCTTCAAGAAGTATATTAAGAAGAGAAAGTAGTTAGTAAATTCCAGAGAACATCAAATAAAATAGTAGTAACATACTAAGCTCATGGATGTGAAAAAAAATGAGGTTGGTTGTTGTCTTTCTCTCATTTGGTCAGCCAAAAGGATCTCTCCATAGCCATCAATGGCCCGAAAAATATGATTTATAATTGTAATATTGGTTTATAAAGGCTGATGGAACATTGCAGAGAAATTTTGATGAAAGGGAAAGACTTACATTGTTGGCAATTTTTTTTTTGCTTTATTAGGTTTCCAATGTCTTCAAAGGTAATGAGATTTAACTCAATTGTCCAAATTAAAGCGCTACAAGATGACAAAAAAGGGATTGAATTGTTGTTAATGCAATATAAGTTTGTAATTTGTTGTTTGTTATGTTCTATTTTGTTTGTTGTACTTACTCAAGCCCAAAACACATTTTGATATGTGCTGTAAGATGTCTTTTATATGATCTTTTATCAATCTTGAAATTGGAAGAGTTTGTGGAAAGACCCAAGATTTTCTGATGTTTATAGGTTGAGGCAAGATGTACGCATCAGCATCAAGCACGTCTTTGTCCTTCGTGCTTTGCTCAACTTGCTTTGCAGCTTGTTTTGAAGCTCTAGTCACTTTCGCAACTTTGGGATATTGGAATTCTGGATCATGCTGATTTTCCTTCCTTTCTTTTGCCTTTAAATTTTTTATCATTGACGTCGGATCTTTTTTTACTGTAGATAGTGAAAATATTAGGAAAAGTGAAATTTCTCTAAAGTAACAAATGATATTTCAATATGTAAATTTATTTGATTCAATATTTTGCAGTTACCATAGACTTTTGTCTTTTGTTTCGGTTGTTCTTTGTGTGCCATTTGTTCTTGTTGGCATGTTGGTTGTTGTTCCACTTGCATTCCAACTATACACAGTGAAAATCAAACAAGCCCCAAAAATGGAATAAGAAAATATACAGAGAAAATGAAATGAGCAGTAGAAATATAACTAATGTGTTGAGAGAGATATAACTTCCAGAGAAAATTACCAATGACAGAGAAAATTATAATAAATAGAAATTTCTCTGAGTTATGATGGCACAAGGACATAACTTTTTGTGGCTCAAGATTTTCACTGACCTTGTGGTTGAAGTTGTGTTGGTGTTCGGTATGGTTGTGTTGCTAGTTGGAAAAATAGTTCTTGATCTTGTTCATGCAATTTGGCATTTTCAGTTTCAAGCTCCGAATTTGAACACCTCAACTGTTGAATTGTTTTTGCATCGTCTGCTTTTTCAACCTCCAACATCCTTAGTTTCATTCGGATTGTGCTTTCTTTTTCTTGAAGTTCTGAGTTATGTGATGTCAGGATTCTTATTGAAATATCCTTTTCAGCAAGTAATTCAATCCAATTTCTGTCTTCTTCTTTTTTAGATTGAGAAAGTGCCTTCAGTCTTTGACGTAAATCAGCAATTTGGGCATCCTTTGATTCCTCAAATTCTTCAGGCTGATGCGTTGTTGAGCCACAAATGCCATCATGTTGTTGGTCCATCTGCTCATTATTTTCTTCTTCATCACTTTCATCCTTGTTCTCTTCTTCTGAGAGATAAATTAGAAGTTATTTACAAAATCATGCTTTTGTATATGCATGTCACGTTGTTGCATTGTACATGCATTTCACGTTGTTGCATAGAATATGCTCTCGCTTATGTTTCATGCATAGAATATGCTTTCGCTCTTGTTTCATGCGTAGAATACGCTTCCACTTATGTATCATGCATAGAATATGCACTCCGTTTTTTGTTTCTCGCATAGAACATGCCATTGTATCTCAGTTGTTTTTCTTGCATAGAACTTGCATTCTTACTGTGTCACACTTGTTAAGCTTCTTGTTCGTTCATGGATGATATTGTATGTACGGTTCATTCAGACGAGTTCCAGTTAATATCATTCGTGCCACATTTGGATCACTCGGATCCCATCCTTGCTCCGATTAAAAACATTCGGGCACGCCCGGTGTTTACACCATCCTTCCTCCTCTCGCATGAGCCGCGTTAGGATTGCTTCTGTTAAAAACATTCAGGTGCGCCCGGTGTTCACACCACCCTTCCTCCTCTCGCGTGAGACGCGTTAGGATTGGGTTCTAGCTCATCATTTGGGTGTGCCCGGTATTCACACCATCCTTCCTTCTCTCGCGTGAGATGCATTAGGATTGCTTCTGTTAAAAACATTCAGGTGAGCCCGATATTCACCCCCCTTTCCTCCTTATGCGTGCAACGCGTTAGGATCTTGGTTGAGGCCTCGGGTGCGCCCAACGGTTATGTTGCCCTTCACCTTTCCTGCGTGACGCGTGGTTAAGCTTGCATAATTTTCTTATATCCTTTCTACATGAAATGTGGTTTGGCCGGCCAATCATACTGTTTCATTGATTCAAGAGGTTCCACATACTTTATAAAAACCCAACCTATTGAATTCCCACTTGTTGCAAAAAATAGGGTGAGACACAAGTACAATGTAACAATGATTGCTACATCTTTGAAGTCAGTTGGTTGCTTGCCTTTCATTGCTTTGACCAAGGCATTTTTAAGAACAGGACCAGTGAGCCTTGTGTCCTTTTGGAATCTTCTCCTGAGGAATGCAGATTTTGGCTTTTTAGAGTATCTTAATGACATGGCTCCTTTACCTCCTTCCAAACCAAAAATCAAGGTCATGTCATTTGTTGTAAAGGTCAGGTTCTTCTTCCCAACTGTGAATGCTTTTGTTTTTTCATTGTAACATTGGATTATGGCAACTACATCATCATCGGATTTCCTAGATTTCTTTGGATCCATCCTTCCAGTGGTTAGAGCTTGGATCAAATACCAGAATGGGGTCTTTTGAAGCTCTAGAAGATGTTTTGAACTGAATTTAAGTGTTTGAAAGAAGGAGACGACAGATGAGAGGTTGGATCGGAATTGAATGCTGTAGTGAGCTCTCTTTCTGTGGAGTTTAACAGGTTTTTTCCCCCTTGAGCTTGAGTCTTTTGAAGTTGGGGTACTCATCTGGATGCTAGTTGCTTCATCAGCTTGGACTTGTGTGTTTTGGGAAGGAGTTTGTGGTGTTTTAGTGCTGGTTTTTGATCTTAGATGATAAGAGGACTGAGAGAGTTGTTCTTGCTTCCTTGGTGTTTCTAGTGTTTTGCTGCTGGTTTTTGATCCTAGTGCATAAGAAGACTGAGACAGTTTCTGTTTTTTGCTTGGTGTTTCCGGTGTTTCGCTGCCTTTACGTTTTGCCATTTCTAGACAATGATTAAAGCATAGAGATGTCAACATTAAATCCCAGAGAAAAATGGAAATGTCAGAGAAAATTACAGATAAGGGAAAATTACAGAAATTTTGACATGTCAGAGAAAATCAACTCAGCATCATAAACATGGGAGAGAAATTTTCAATAATTGTTTAAATTACAGATAGAAGTAAACATACCAGAGAAAATGAATGATAGAAAAAAGTAAACATGGCAAGTGAAAGAAAATTTGCATTCCACAATTAGCAAAGATAAAATAAACAAAGTAATGTAAACATGGCACTGAGAAGTATACCATATTGAAATCAAGAATTGAACAAAATAAACATACCAGAGAAAAATGCACATTCTGGAGAAAATTACACATTCTTGAGGAAATTTCCATTCCAGAGAAAATTTCAATTCATAATATTAAAATGCAAGAAAAATTTACATACACAAGCAGAGAAAATTAACCATGATAGAGACACTCAATGGAGGAAAGTGGTGCGATGTGGTCAGAGAAAATTGTAAATACCAGAGAAACTTAAGACAGAGGCAAGAGTGTAATTGACATTGCAGAGAAGGATACATATTCCAGAGAAGTTTACAAAGCAGAGAAATTCATATACAAAATGACAGTAACATATTCAAGAATAAGATTAAAATTCAGAGAAATAACTTTTTCTCATAGTACATATGGCAGAGAAAATTCCAAGAAGAAACATTCATTCCAGTCCATAATATTAAAATTCCAGAGAAAATTTAAAATGACAAAGACACAAGGGAGGAAAGTGATGTGATGTGGTCAGAGAAAATTATAAATACCAGAGAAACTTAGACAGGGGCAAGAGTGTAATTGACATTGCAGAGAATGATACATATTCCAGAGAAATTTACAAAGCAGAGAAATTCATAGACAAAATGACAGAAACATATTCAAGAATAAGATCAAAATACAGAGAAATAACTTTTTCTCATAGTACATATGGCAGAGAAAATTCCAAGAAGAAACATTCATTCCAGTCCATAATATTAAAATTTCAGAGAAAATTAAAAATGATAGAGACACACAAGGGATGAAAGTGATGTGATGTGGTCAGAGAAAATTATAAATACCAGAGAAACTTAGACAGGGGCAAGAGTGTAATTGACATTGCAGAGAAGGATACATATTCCAGAGAAGTTTACAAAGCAGAGAAATTCAGATACAAAATGACAGTAACATATTCAAGAATAAGATTAAAATTCAGAGAAATAACTTTTTCTCATAGTACATATGGCAGAGAAAATTCCAAGAAGAAACATTCATTCCAGTCCATAATATTAAAATTTCAGAGAAAATTAAAAATGATAGAGACACACAAGGGTGGAAAGTGATGTGATGTTGTTAGAGAAAATTATAAATACCAGAGAAACTTAAGACAGAGGCAAGAAAGTAATAGACATTCTAGAGAAAGATAGACATTCCAATTAAAAATACATATTATAGAGAAATTTACAGAGTAGGGAAATTTATAGACAAAATTACAGAAACATGTTCAAGAATAAGATAAAAACACAGAAAATTGTTTTTGTGAAAATAAACATGCCAGAGAAAATTGAAAGAAGAAACATACATCAAGCAAAAATCAGAGAAATTCAAATGCCAGAGAAATTTACAGATAAAATCACACGAACATGTTCAAGAATAAGTTCAAAACACACAGAAATAACTTTTTCCAAATTCAGGTAGCTTTTTATTACGAAATTGAAACCCTAATTTATGGAAGGTTATTATAAAATGCTATTAACTGTGTTTCCAGAGAAAATCTAGTTGTATTGTAGAAAAACTGACCAGAGTTAGGATGAAACTTGAATGACGAGCTGATATGGCCCGAGATGAAGA